ACGGTAAAACTAGGCTTGCCAGGGATGGTTGAAGATCCGATGGCTGAGCAGCTGGCGCAGCCAACATCTGCATTTTTTCTATCACTCGTGCTATGTACAGTCTCTTTTCTATATAAATTAGGTAAGTGTACTTACTATCATTATCTACATAGTCTCAAGAGATCTCATTTGCAAGAGTAGAAGCCGGATGAATATTCTATGCTCTAACTTACCACGGGCACCCCACCACTGTTCCTGCTTATGTATGTACGGTATTGTATTGTTTTTTGGCCCCCGCGGTTCGACAATCCCGTCCCTCCCCCATCCATGCCTTTCCTCCCTCGTGTTGTGTATCCTCCCGCCTATCAGCCTGCCTGCTCATCAATTATTTCCGCTGGCGTCATGTCGTTAGCACTTCACCTAACCTCTGCTAGAATCCTTCCTTCCTTACCTTACATTCCTGGGTAAAGGAGGGCGGGAATAAGTAGTCTCTCCTACACGTGGTGACTAGACTTGCGTTGCTTTCTTGATCTTCTTTTATCCCACCGTCGCCCCAGCGCAATCAGTCGAGTCCCCTCACGCGAGAACCTTGTCCAACCATCTACACTGTCTATCTGCTTTAATATCTGTCAGCGATACCAAATCCTCGCAAGGTCAGTTCATTCGCTGTTATTTGTCGCACACTCGGCGATGGAATCTGGATGATTATTTATACGGTCCCACTACAATCTATTGTTTACCCCGAACTATCCGTCGGCGATAGTAAGCTGACTCTTGCATGCGAGAATAGCGTCCCTAAGCCGACTGCGCTCAATTCGAAAGCTGCCTCCCATCCCTGATTCTTTTCCCTCGATCAAAAATCTCGCTACTAGGTTCTGTTCCAACACACCAATTCGAAAAAAATATCTTTTCTGTGTTCGAATTCGGTCCGTAGGACTTGATTCGGAACGAGTGCAGTGCGACGGACAGGGAACCCCTCCGCCGGTCGCATTGATCATGCCTGCGGAGCGGCTGGCATAAAGCACGTCTAAGGTTGTGCAGCGTGGATTGACGCACTCGATTTGCTCGACGTGATACCCAAACTATCTACTCCCTTATCCAGATCCCGAGTCTGGTATCACTTCGAGCGGGGCTCGGGTGGTTGTGACACCTAAGACACGAAGGCCGTGGCGGTTTTCCAAGATGAACACGCTAGAGACGCTCAGCCACGCCTCTCAGCCAGCGGGGGTCAAAATGTTCAATATTCATGATCTCCACGGTCTAGACAAATCGAAGCCTGAGGACGCATCCTGGTCAGATATTGCGGAGGACGATGAAGACGATGACGAGGAATCAAGTTCGCCCGTGTCCGGCAAGCCGCCATCGTGGTCAGGAACGCGCTGGGCTCGCTTTTTCCCGGAACTTGCTTCCCACTTTTCCCTGGCGTCACCTACAAGCAATACCGCTCAAATCCCATCGAGAACGAAGACTGATCCGACTGGTCCCTCGGACTCTCCGACGAGCTTGAAATCATCCGACTCGCCGGGAAGCAAAGGTCGACCGCCCTCGGTATCATCAGCAGAAACCGCAGACAAGCGATCTTCAGGATATACTCTAAGATCTTCGATCACAAGTCAAAGCTCTCTGAGCTTGTCTTCCGGGCGAAATTCTCCGTATTCAGTACATGATTCCTCATCAGATTTGTTGGGATCCTTCGAAGGCGATGGGAAGTCACAGAATTCCCCATCTCGAACTATATCCAGGCACTCGTCAACAAAGGAGCTGAGAGACAAACCACTTCCCCAAGAACCGTCATTCCCACTGCCACCATTGTTGGCCCGCCACAGATCTCATCATTTGCCCAGAAGCCGTGAGACTGGGCATAGCAACTATCGGTCTCTGAAGTCACCCTCGCTGCCTGATATTCAGGAGAACTATCATCGTCCGTCGCTGTCTAAATCTGCTGGACCAGTGGGACAGAATATGACTCGTCTCACAGAATCACAGCAAACAAAAAAATTCACTTCCCAGAGTCATCTACATTACCCTGATGGGAATCTGCAGATGCGTAGAGAAAGCATGGGAACGATGGCTACAAGGCTAAGACCAATGTCTCCTATGAGTATTCATGATGTGCAGCAGGCCGTCAAAGCTCAATCCCGCGAGGGGTTGAGTCAGACAAAGAAAGACTCCAAGAACAAAAGGTCGTTCTCTTTTGGTCTGCCGGGCCTCAACCACTGGTCTAACCGACCCGAATTTCGACCTTCCGGTAGCCCTTTCACCGCGTCAGCATTAGACTCCACTTCGCACTCATCCTATCTTACTGGAGATGAGGACAAAGGTGAAGTGGCCGAACTTCCGGGCTCCCCTGTCACAGTTTCGAATGTCACCCCAACATCCAATGACAGCAAGCAGGAGCCATTTCCAACACTGTCGTCCCTGCAGACAAAGGAAATTGGCGATCCCGGTTTCACGAAGCCGGCACTACCTCAATCCATAGCAAAGAAAATGAACGAGAATGCCAATCACGTTCCGAGATATAATAAGCTGAATGATGTGTTCGTTGAGGGATCGTCAGAGAAATACTTTGTGTCTCACAGCAAGTATGGGGGCGTGGCTACAAATACATTTCGACGCCAAAATGCTTCGCAGGCTCCCACCATATATGAGCTCGACGCCAATCCTACCGTATCGCAAGCAAAGCATTCAAGCGACACCACGCACACCAGCCAAACCCTTGTAGAAGGAATGCGCAACACATTGCCTGAGGCTATTGTCCTAACGATTTTGCGACAAGTTGACTCGCTCGACGACCTCTTCAATGTTTCCTTGATCTGCAAAAGCTTCTACCGCTCTTTCAAAGATCATGAGTTGGAATTAATCAAGAACGCTGTTTTCGCCATGTCACCACCTGCGTGGGAATTGCGCGAGATGAGCCCCCCTTGGGGTACAGAGTGGCAGGTACTCGTTGACCCCGATGCTCCTGTTCCTGAGTATACTCCGGCGCTCTATCTCAAACACTATGCGCAAGATATTTGTACCGTCGCCCAGCTGAAGTCCATCATCCTAGCCAGATGTTCGTCATTTTTGCGCCCGGATACGATTCGTGGGCTGTCTGGCCTGGACGATGCCTGTGCGACCGAGGTTGACGAAGCCTTCTGGCGGGTCTGGACGTTTTGCCGTTTGTTTGGCTGCGGCAAGCACAGAGAGGGTGATATCGCCGGACAAATGGCATGGCTTGAAGGCGGGGTAGATGTCACCGACCAGCGTGTCTCTGTGGCACAGTCTATCACTGATCATTTCGACATGGGTAGCGTCTTATTTGAGCCTCCTACGGGGTTTGGACATGGTAACACGGGCGGTTTATCGCAGAAGCAGCTACACAGCATGACTGAAATCTGGACCTGCCTTGGCGTACTGCTTCAGCCCATGCATGGAAAAGCTAGAATGGCACGAGAGGTGGGGGTGTTTGACGGACACAATGTGAAAGACAATGCCACTGCAAAGGAGGAGGCAGTTCTAGGTAAGAGCACAACCTGCTCTGACTGCTAACCTAATTTCGAATATGTTCACCTGAGCTAATGTGGTGTATGAGCAGAGGAGTGGACCCATTATATCCTTACGCTCGGTTTGTCAGCAGTATTGACCCTCGGGTCGATCACAACGGATGAGAATACTGTCTTGGCTAATTTCCGGAAAGCCCAATCTATGGGGCTGACGAACTGGCTGTCCTCGGATACTGTTGCCACCCGGTCATCGTTCTTGCGGGATGCTGTTTCGAAAGCGTATAAGCCACGGGGAGGGACGCGCTCCGAGTCATCATCCAGAGCATCCAGTCCGTTCTCTTTGAGCGACCGCCCTGTGACAAGTGACCCTTCGCTGGACATGCAGCGCCGCAGACAAGCAGCCTACTCGGTGCAGCTCAAGTTTCAGAAACAGCAATCCATGAACCTGCCCATGCCACCCCGGCTCGTAGAAGAGCGACCGATTTCCCATTATGAAATGATCATCAGTCGCCTGGAAGGTCAGTCAGGCGGGCCAGCCCGAATGGAGAGCTTGGTCTCTCCTCCAAGGGCCAGCCCCACCGTGCCAGCCTCAAACCAGCGAAGCACTGCGCCTGCCATTCGACACCCGCAAGTCCAAGACCCAACAGACAAAGCCCTGGATCTGCTGGTTCGAGAGCTAGGTTTCAAGGAGGAAGACGCCAAATGGGCCTTGAAGATCACGGACAGCGGGGAGGGGATCAATGCCAATGCAGCGGTCTCCTTGCTCAAGCGGGAGCACAGGAATCGACAGGAAGGGCAAGGGCGTCGGACTCCGCCCAGTGATAGTCTCCTATCGTCGGTCATCAATAGTCCTGAGTCCAGGACTTCGGGGTGGAAATGGGCCAAATCATCGTAGTGCATGTTTAACCGGGCTGTGAAGTGACCTGGATATTTTGGAGTTATTGTTTTTCGGGATGGTTGCTCATACTAAGCACAAGCCTTCCGTGCATTTTGGAGTTTCTTTTCCCTGCCTCGGTGTTCTTCTTGAAGTGGGGCTTGATACCACCGTCTCTACAATATTTGTATACTGTTTCATTTATTGCGGGTCTGCGATGTGTGACGACTTTCATGAGCTTTGTCTGACAGAGAATTATAGCACTAGTCCTGTGGGTCTAAGAGAGTACAACAGATGGATGTTTAGAGTAAAGCTCAATCTTACTCATAACCGTTAACTCCCCTTTCGACAGCCCAAGTAGGCAACCTTGAATGTCTAAGGTAGCCAGGTCGGTCCATTAACTGCCAGAGTATTGCGCCAGCTGCCCCAGCCAAGTAGTATACCACACATAACTACCTAGTACTCTCTATCGAGTCCAGACGACGACCACTTAATTCAATGTACTCACTAGATCCAAACAGAACCAACACAAATGGATGCAAATACCTGTGCCATCCAGCGAACTGCCAGAGTCGAACCGGCTGCCTCACCTACCGTGCCCGTCGCGATAACTGCCGACCTAGCTGTCTGCCTCCGCTGCGAAAAAGCCAGAGTCGAAAACCATGGTTATGAACATGACACCGGGATGGATCACTCCCATGTGTGACAATTGTGATCAACAGTGTGAGTTGAGCAGGTCGCCATGCAAGGTTTCGATGCTGAGATGGTCCTGACGGATCATACTGACGGTGGTTGTTTGACGATGGGGCGAGAGTGAATGCTTTCAATGCAGCGCGTAAGCAGACGGCATGCCGCTATAGAGAGTCGGTGTTGTGAGGTCGACAGCGATGCTAGGTCAGGATGACGAGGATGATGTGATGTTGACACCAGCAGCAAGAATTGACTCATTTTTGATGGCCGCCACCACCCACAACCATAGAATTAGATTATCCAGCAGCACCAAGTCCAATGTTCAATATCGAAGAGACCAGCAACAGACCACTTCTGACTGTCGATTCCCGTTAATCAGTATGATAGTTCCCAAGTTTTCCAAGCTCGCTATACGACCAAGAACCCTTCGACCGGCTCAATCTTTCTGGGATTCAGAGATGGCACCAGCAACCGATAGATTGACATCAGACTCAGGACTAGACTCAGACAAAACGCTCGATCCGGGAAGAACCCCAAGGCCAGACGCATCTAGGATATTCTTCATCCCCGAAATCCTCGAAATGATCCTTTTAGATGCGGAAATGTACACCATCCTGATGTCCACGCGCGTGTGCTCCGCATGGAAAGATCTCATCCAAATCTCTCCGGAGATCCGCAGGGCCCTCTTGTTTGCGTCCCGCATGATCCAGGCGGGCGTGTCTTTCGACATCGCGCAATATATAACGCGCCAATTGGAGATTGTCGTACCACCAACCTCGGAAGGCCCACCCAACTGGCCCTATACTTGCTACTGGCGCGACCACTGGCGGACCATGCTCCTCCAGAACGCTCCGAGTCCGATGATTCGCATCTTTTGCCCTGGTGTCCCCCTTGCTCACGAGAGAGCTTACTGTTCCCTTTACGGCCCACAACGGCCATACAAATGTCTTAATTACTGCCAGATAGAGATCTCGTCTGCCCATGCATTGCAGCATTGCCGGGAGCTGGAAGTAGTCATTGTGCAGGAATGCCCAGATCGGGAGGGCATTCCCAGACCCGTGAAGCTGTATATGTGGTTTCAAGTCCTATCGCAGGGCGACAGCGAAGACTACTTGCTCGAATACAGAGGTTGGTCTTCACTCCCTGATTGGTGAAAGGAGATATCTCAGAGCTGCAGCCGAAGAGGTGTGAATGCTTCCGATCGACTTTTGGCCTTCTGATTTGGAAATTGCTTAGGTTAGGCGGCGCTGTGGGATGAGGCTTGCTGAGGGAGGGGGAACAAGGATAGCATAAGTGGTAGCACAAGATAAGATGCAGGTCTGCCGATATAGATGCTGTGTACAAAGAACAACGCATACCCGCGATCAAATTGCTACTCATGAGCCTGCTACATCGTTTCGAAATCTCCATCCCAGAAACCACAACCCACCAGAAACAACACGTATTTCCACAGATTCTGCCTCTGTTGAATTAGTCAGGCAAGGATAGTGATTTTGTCAAGGCTTCCCCCTTGATGAGTATCCTCAATGCTTCTACTGTTATTGAATTTCGCTACCCATACTCCAAGCAGAGATGAATTGAGTCGTATTGAAAGACCGCGGAGGACTATCATGATAGAACAATTAGTCATGAATTACTTATCAGCATTAGCTTGACCTACTAACATAATGCTTAAACTCACCTAAAACCTCGAACCTCGCTGCCAGGCTAGATACCTCCACTACACGAAGCCTTTCCGCGGACCCCGCAAAGGCTGAAAACCGTGGGTCCATAGCTCCAGGTGCATGAACACTAGGAACGGGTCCACGACTGTAAGCGAATTTCCGGCCGCATACTCTGTACACATCCCCGTATTATACACAAACGTTTCTCCTCGGAGGAACCGTAGTTCCTTGGTTCGTCGATCTTGTCTACCTGGTGGCCGGGTCGGTCGACACCACGTCAAATAACTAACAACCCTTCTTAGTCAAGTACTCGTCCGCGGCCATGAAGGCGTGGCGTATACAGGGATTAGGTTGAGCGGACTGGGTCTGATCCTTTTTCTTGGGTTGGAGCGCGCACCTGGATGGGAGACTGGAAGCCAAAGGAGGTGCTTAGCGATCAAGGCCTAGAGTTTCTATTTCGAGTGGCGTGGAGGTAATAACCCTAGAGATAGCCCGATCTGGACTGAGCTGACTACTCCTACGAGTTGACGTAATACGAGCAACGGCGGCTGTATCGATACTGGCAACAGAGGTCGAGGGATACCAGACTAGGTAGCTGATCGCTCATTTATGTTCTTGTTTCCGAATAGATCATCTAGCTTCGAAGGGACTGAAGGGTTATATAGTTACCGGTAGTCATCTGTTCAACTTACCCATCCCCAGGCGGGCGGTTGTCATCTATTGCCCTGGAATGACCTCGGGTAAAGAAGTATCAGATATAGATCGGAAGATCCTTGTGTGGCAGGGCCAGTCGATCCTTGTGTTCGCATGGCCCTGGACGCCCCCTGACCTCACCAGCTCGGGAGCTGTGCGTACTGCGCACACTTACCCACAGCCTGCGAGTGATCTACAGAGCAGCGTGGAGTGATTGCGTGGTATATGCAGGAATCTGGTTGATCTTAGATAGATGACAGCTTCTCAGTTTAAGCGATGCATTGCATTTGCTGGGTGGTGGTGGTGGTGGACAATCCGGACGGCATTGCGCGATAAGGGCTAAACTTTAAAGCTGCCTGCCCGTCGGCTCCCGTCAGGTACCGTTCCAAGTACTTAGAGTACAATAAACAAACTCCAAAACTATTGTCTCAAAGCGCTAGTAAACCTTCAACAGAAAAAGAAAAAAGGGAGTATTCGTGGAGAAATTCTAGCGTCATTCATCGCTCATTCTTCGCGGGCTCTAGCTAACCGTACCTGCAGATTCTGTCTCATAAAGTCCAGAATTTGGTAGCTCCGAGAAAGGTTTGGAGGAATGTGCTGTGCGATCTTGAGGGTTCGGGATCGCGTCCGACCATGGCCGATTCGATAGGTGAATGGTAGAGAGCCACCGGAATCATCTTCATGCCACGCTCCTGGAAAAGAGGCCAAAGAAAAAGAAAAAGAAAAAGAAAGAGGATTTCCCAAGCCAGGACACGACTATTGCCGGAGCTATCCCATAACCCGGTCAATTATTGGCAAAATTGGACCCGCGTTGCCGGATTTGTGATATATCACTCTTCCTTCGGGCCAACGCGCACTCCAAACGCGTCGATCGCGGAACGAGGAAAGAACACTTCGATTTCTTTCCCCCAAGACCGAATATGACAGATGAATGGGTCACGGAACTCTCAAAATATGATCTATCGGGCTCATTTAGTCCGTTCAAGGAAGTGGTTCAGTCATGCGGTGAACGATTGACAAGTTGCTGAGATGTGAGCTGCTTGTATCTCTCGGCTTCTGGAGGGAGAAGAAGAAGAAGCTCAATGCAAGGGGGTTCGTCTGTTATTGGAAGGGGAGCAAAACGAGGGGAGTAGCTCGGAAAGGTCAACAGACATTGCCGTTCAGTATGAAGATAGGATACAATCGAGAGGATGGAAAAAGCAACAAGTGAATTAAGTGACGTTGGATGGTGATGCAAGATGCAAGAAGGAGACCGACAAACCCAATAAACCGAATTCCCCCTCTCTTCCCTCCTTCTCTCTTCTTTCTCTCCCCCCCACCACCACTACAATCACCAACACTACCAAGAACTATCAGAACAGCAAACCACAATCACCGCATCCACCTTCATCCAACCCTCTTGAAACTTCGTTTCCACACGACCCATGCGAGGGATGGTGAGTTCCGACCACGCTAGAGGCGACCCTCTCCCCCCCAGTTCCTCCTTGAAACCACCCAAGTATGCGGCACTACCGTTTACTGTGGGAAGAAAGGATGAATCCACCGAGCTTGACCTGCATATGTATGCATGGAGCATGTATGCACGCGCCAAAACCTTCGGCCGTCCAGTTCATTGAAAATGACGCCTCACCCACTCTGGCCTTGACGCTTGCTTTTCTTTTTCAAACTTTGTCTACTTGACACTCGAAACAGTCGTCATTCCTCGACGCTGTCTGTCTCCGTTGTGTCTCGTTTTTTTGTCGACCCTCACGCCCTCCCTCCTTTGTACCCCTCCCTCTGCTCTTGCCCTCAAGATGGCTGTGGATTATGCTTCTTACACAAACACGGTGCATGGGTGAGACAATAGACCCTATATCCCTGCTGCCGCTCACTAATGGTCGGCCAGCAACGTCATCGACCAGCAACTATCACCGACGGATGCGAAGCGGCAATATGAGAAAGAGATTATCCTCGGCAATTCCACCCACGGCGCCCCCAGCAGATTATTCCACACCAAGACCCGCATACTGAGAGGCTCAGACGTCCTCTTATCGTTGGCTGGTAGATCTACAAATGGTGCGCTATCTTCGTCGGATACTTGCATTGCATGACGGACGGTCTGGATTGTAATCGAAACTGACCTAATCTCAACCTCAGCAGAATCGACAGATGATGTACAAGCTGGGGTGGAGAATTTCAAGAAAGTCTTACATCTGTTCCCGCCTTTTCACGATGACGATGGAGACACATTCGGTGCTGCGGACATTGAATGTCCCGACTGTGATGCGATATTCTCCTCACCGTACGACTGACGGCCTTTTTCGAGTGGTAAATGAACGGGATCTGACTGGCATACAGCAACGAACTGAAACAGCACTATTTGACGAGATACTGCCCCGGGACTGCAGTTGCGGTATATGTGATGACTCGAGATCGGTATTGTTTCCTGCATCCCGTCTTTTCTGGATACCGGTATACTGATCGCGCATTCCATTTCAGATTAATCACCAAAGGCTATCGTATGGAGAAGCGTCTAATACCAGTCAACTGTCGCCCGATTCGATTTTTCTGCGACTATTGTGATAAGATCTTCACCTTTGGGGAGGAGGATGAGAAACCAGATCGTCAACCTAGTATGGCTTCATGCTGTCGTCTTTTGGAAAGGAAATTGACATGCTGTCGCAGATGCGCCTCTCTATGTCAACTGCAAACATTGCGGAGAGAAGTGCAATGTCTCGTAAGTGATGCTTTTAGTCTTGCGTTTATTTGTCAGATACTCACTCCAATGCCAGGTATCAACCTATATTGAACGATCCCCGTGACGACATCAGCCCACGCGACATACAGAGAGAGATAGGAAATGCCTGCCACAGTCGAAGTCCCAGCATAGCTCAGAGACCATCAATGGGCGCCAAGTTCCCGGTCCCCCCTGGAGCGAGTATGGATCAGCAGTCCTTTACCAGGAAAGCGAGGAAGTTACGAGATTCATGGTCATTCCGAAGTCTGTTGGCCTTCCTCTTCGTCCAGTCGTTACAGACCTCATTTGCTGATTAGAACTAGAGATGTCACAGAGTGATGAAGATGAGCTGATTGCCATCAGCTTTGCCGGGCTATATGATTTAGAACGAGGTAAGAACCTTTTGACGATGGGTTCAAGCTACCACTAACCAAGCAGTTCACGCGCCGAATGGCATATACCATCAGATAGAAAATAATAACGAATCCCAACTGAATCAGTCAACGATGAGCTTTGATTCAAATGGTAGACCCACATGACAATGCAACTAGGTGTCAACGCAGACTCTAACCGTGTATCCAGGACTGAATGACACTTTATTCAATGAACCAAGGAAGATAATGTGTGAAGACGAAGACCAGCATACTTCGAATGATGAAGATGGGTTAATGGATGATACGAATGATCAGAAAGCGCAGCATTCATCATCTCGAAGGCAATCCTTTTTGCAGAGATTGTTTGGACGGAAAGTGCCAAAGGGTTCGTACGCAAAAGCCCACGATTCATTTGAAGTACTGACGGCCCATAGGAGTGTCAAGAGCACGATCCGCCAGCAGCCGTGGCAAGAAAATAATCAGAAGAGCTAACACGATACGTTTCTCCTTTGTCACCAAATACACTCGGAGCGAAAGCCGAGCGACAGGGCGCACAAGCGAAAGAGACTCGATAGATGCACGAACGCAAGAGACCACGGAGCCGAAACATGAATCTGCCGCAGATGCTGAGTACATTGCTTTACTGCGTAACTCTCAGAATGTTTTCATCCATACTCAATATATCAACGGTGGGGCCGTCGTCCATGATGCTTCTGGCCGCCAG